AAACTTTATAAAAAAAGGATAATGGTTGTCAAAATATAAGCCTGCTCATGGTTAATTAGAGTCAAGAATTTATCTTTTTCTGTAACAGTATGAGAGGGATGGCTGCAGCATTATATGGTGAAATAGACACAGAATTTTGAATTGGAAGTCTCAGGTTCAAGTCCCAATCCAGCCATTTCCTAGGCATGTGTTTTTGGACAAGTTTTGAATCTTTCTGCCTCTATATCATGAATATAAAATTTGGCTAAACCTAGTGCTACCTTAAAGGGTGCTGGGCAGCTCAGATAAAGTATTAGTATATGACTGTACTTTGTGAATTTTAGCATGATATATAGTCTTAGTTGCTTTTTCTATATTTCCTTGTGCTTTTTTCCATGTTCATATGGATACTATTCTTATTGATACTGTTGGTTTTCTCTGCACCTTTACCCATGTTGGAATGCTGTCACTGTACTCTCTGTCACATTCGTCAATTCTTATTCATTGTAGGAGGTTGATTTGTGGCCACCAAAAAGCCTGTTCAAGTCTTAACCCCCTGGTACCTAAGACCTTATTTGGAAAAGAGTCTTTGTAGATGTTATTAACTTAGGGCTGTAGAGATGAGGTCATCCTGATCCATAACCAAGTGGGCCTTAAAAATCCAATGATGAGTGTCCTCATGAGAAGAGAAGACACAGCAGAAGCAGGGGACACACAGAAGGAGGCTATGTGAAGAAAAGAGGCCCTGGCTTGAGTTAGGCTGACAAGCCAAGGAATGCCAGGAGCCACCGCAAGTTGGAAGAAGCAAGGGAGGATTAGCTCTGCTGATACCTTGATTTCACACTTCTGTTTTTTTTTTTTTAATTTTCAATTTTATTTAATTTTAGAGCATGAGCAGAGGAGAGGGGCAGAGGGAGGAGGGGAGAGAGAGAGAGAGAGGGAGAAAGAAAGAAAGAAACAAGAAAGAAAGAAAGAAAGAGAGAGAGAAAGAATGAATCCCCAGCAGGCTCCATGCTCAGTGCAGAGCCTGACACTGGGAGTTGATCTCACGACCATGAGATCATGACCTGAGCTGAAATCAAGAGTCAACTGGCTCAACTGACTCAGCCACCCAGGCACCCCAAAGTTTCTGTTGTTTTAAGCTACCAGATTTGTAGTAACTTGTTACAGCAGCCACAGGAAACTACTATTCTCATCATCTAAGGGTTGGCTACAATTTCCTCTGCTCTTGGAAGTCTTTCCCACCCTCCCGGGAGTGGATGAGGTGCCCCTCCTCTGTATGCCCTTTGACACTCCTGACTTCTACCATTTGCACCTGCTTGTGTAGTTATCCATTCATGTGTCTGTCTTGTCCATGACACCGAGGGTTCTGAGACATTGGGGTTGTGCCTTAGTAATGTTTCTCACCTGGCATGTAACAGCTCAATGGGTTTGTTTTACACAACATGAATTTTGTTCTCAAACCCTCATCTTTGTTGAATCCCTCCCCAGCCTAGGCGTCTAGTACTGGGTGTAGGAACCAATGTGTCTGGCTTTTCCTCTGCAGGCCCCTGTCCTCCTTCTGCCCATGCTGCCAGGTTAGTATTATTTCTAAAATATTACTCAGATACGTACCTACCCAGAGACTTCGAGCAGCTCCATACCTCTTTAATCCAAGTACCTCTACCATCTGGCCCTAACATACATTTCTAGCTTTATCCTCCAGTACCCTCTTCTGTGAACTCGTGCTCGAGGAGAACTAGTCTGCTCCTGTGTACAGAGCACACATTATTAAGGTGAAACCTCGCCGGAACTATGGAGGATGGGAACCCCCCTGTCTTCCTCATTGTTGCTGAGCCCCAGACATGTCCAGCTCTTCTTGGACGATTTGTTGGTCGCTCGGGCAGGGATGCCATGCTCCTTCTCGGAACTGCTGTTGTACTGGATGTCTGTGCTTTCATAGGCATCTGTAGCATCTCTGCAGGCACAGGCAGCATGCAGATCAGCTCTTTTCCATCTTTACATTTCCTTCAGGACCTGAGGGCCTCCAGTGAAGTAGAGTGCCTTGTTAACTAGATATATTAAAGACATTTGTGCATGTGATTTTAATACAGGGAAAGTCAGCAACCTACTGTGGTGGAGGCTTATTTTTCCAAATTTCCCTTAGGACATTTATATTGCTTCTCTCTTATAAGATTTTGTGAAAATGGAAGGCATTACCAGAAAACTACCTGGTTCTACAGGGTTTAAATATAATGACCTCTTAGTAACAAATGTGCAAGTAGAAAACAGGCCTTAAACTTTTGGTGAGGAATAGAGGCATTGTTCTCCTGGAGGAGGACCGCTCTCCTTCCCTGTGTCTGGGGCTGGCCTCCAACAGATGTCTGAAGAATTAAGCACAATTACTGGGTCTAGGGAGAGGGGAAAGGAGCTGAGGAGCCCAGGGCTACTGGTGTCAGGCAGAGCAAGGTGCCCAAAAAGCCGTGCTAAGCAAGACTTCAAGGAAATCTATGTCCCTTGTTCACCTGAAAATTGCCTAAGTTGTCATCTGGATGTGAGCATAGCTTTATTATCCAAAATATTTGTGATCTTAACATAATTATAATGATGAATCATAGCACAGGTCAGTAAGTGAGTTCTCTTTAGTTACATATTGGGATCAGAGATACCAAAGAAATTTTTATCTCAGAATAATTCTCAATTCCAAAGATTTCCATAGCATTATTTTCCCCTCAGTGAAGCAAAGTGATTTTTAAAAAATAGCATATTTTGGGTGCCTGGGTGGCTCAGTTGGTTAAGTGTCCAACTTTGGCTCAGGTCATGATCTCACAGTTCATGAGTGCAAGCCCCACGTCAGGCTCTGTGCTGACAGCTCAGAGCCTGGAGCCTGCTTTGGATTCGGTCTCCCTCTCTCTCTCTGCCCCTCTTGTGCTCACACACACACACTCTCTCTCAAAAATAAATAAACATTAAAAATTTTAAGAAAAAAATAGCATATTTTTTTGCTCAAATTTACCTATGTAGATATAGAAAACTTAGTTTTCAAAAACTTTCCTTTGCTTCCTCTCTATGTAAGGGTGTCTGAGTGGCTCAGTTGGTTAAGCATCCGACTTCGGCTCAGATCATGATCTCACAGTTTGTGAGTTTGAGCTGTCTGTGGCACAAGACAGAGCCTGCTTCAGATCCTCTGTCCCTTTCTCTCTCTGCTCCTCCCTCGCTCATACCTGCTCTCTCTCTCTCTCAAAAATAAACATTAAAAAAAAAAAAGAAAGTGCAATGTAGCGGTGCCTGGGTGGCTCAGTGGTTTAGTGTCTGATTCTTGATTTTGGCTCAGGTCATCATGATCCCAGGGTTGTGAGATTGAGCCCCACATTGGGCTCCACGTTGAGTGTGGAGCCTGCTTGAGATTCTCTCTGTCTCTGTCTCTCTCTCTCTCTCTCTCCCCTCCCCTCCCCTAACTTTCTGGGAGAAAAAGGGGAAGGGAGGGAGGGGAGACAAAGAAGGGAGGAAGGAAAGAAAAAGAAAGAAAAGGAAAGAGAGAGAGCACGCACGAGGATGCAGTGTAGCATGGTGGGAAGCATTTAGGAAACCTCAGTTTGAATTCTGCCTCGGCTACTTGCTAGCTTTGTAACCTTGAGCAATTTAATTTCTCTAAACATCAGATTCTGTATCTCTGAAAATAAAATAAGACCTCATAAGGTTCTTGAGGGTTGAATACAATCATAGTAATCATTATTTTGGTGGATCAGTGTGTGTGGTGGGGAGGGAAGGACCAAAATCGTATAACGTGCTTAACTTCTTGCTGGTAATTGAAAGATAATCAAATTATAAAAGCAGTGGTGGCTTGAATGAAGGGTGTGTTCTAACTGATTCTGTGTTTCTTCAGGGAAATAATTTACATTGCTTAATTCTTTGCAGAATAATGGGACCACTGAGCATCAGGTGGAGTCTTTCATAAGGAAAAAACTGGAGTCATTGTTAAAAGAATCTCAGATTCGAGACAAAGAAGATCCTGATAGTTTCACAGTGAGGGCACTACTGAAGGCCACACACGAAGGCTTAAATGCACATCTGAAACAGGTATACAATTCTCCCTTGGACTTGTCCTTCAACAGGAAAAAGAATGGACCTCATACTCTGTTTCTAATCATTTGTCATTTGTGAACTGCTTCTCCAGTTTCTTGCATTTCTATCCTCATCTTACTTGAGAAATGAAAATCTCCTATTGCAAAATGATGGGAGAAATTGTTAAAAGTGGATGGGCAGGGGTGGAAATAACTCAAATACTGCTTCACTGGGATCCTCAGGACAAAGTGCAGTGGCCCTGGACCCATCTTGCCCTGCCTGCTCGGGTGTGGGAGGAGCTCGAGCCCACCACGTGCATCACCCTCCCACCTCTCCAGCCAGTCATCCGCTGTGCTGCATTGATTGCACCTCCTTGAGTGTGTCTTCCGTCTGTCTTCTTCCCTTGTCCATGGCTGGGTCCTGTTCTAGGCCAATGTCAACTGTCACCTAGACCTCTCTTGCCCTCCTTCAATCTAATCTCCACTCTGAAATTAGCATGATGTTTTAAAAGGTAAATATGATCATGTCACTCCACTATTCAGAATTCTTCAGTGGTTTCCCATTAGGATTTGGATGAATTACAAACTCTTTAACCAGGCTTTCAAGGTGTCATTTCATCCTTGTCTACCTCTCAAGTCTTCTCATTTTCCCTATCACACTGCTTCCCACCATTGTCCCACTAAACACAACTGTCTGTATGCCATGGTCTTTCTCACATTCTGTTCCCTCTGCCCAGAACACTCCATTCCTACATCTGCTCTTACTAACTTCTTCTTAGTCTTTTAAATTCCACCTTCAGTGTGATGCCCTAAATGAGTCCTGCCTTGACCTGGGATTAGGTTAGTTATCCCCCTTATATTGTCCAGGGTAGCTTCCCATTATATCTTCTCTTTTATGAAGGTTGTTTTTTTTTTTTTACACCTTTGCAATTATTGTTTAATATCTGTCTTCTCAACTAGATTATAGATTCCATGAAAACAAGAACTATGTCAGTCCTAATAACCATGATTTTTCTGGCTTATTATAGTGCCTGGGCCTTAGTGCGACTTTCATATTAAGTCGTTGAATGAATGAATGATTTGGGCTCTGGCTGCGATTTTAACTCTACCTTCTAGTAGAAATATCAGAAATGGGCAGGGAAGAAGGAGGGTGGGTTTATTGCTATTATCCTTGCAGGGCATTCAGGGCACTTATTCTGGCCTAGAGATCCATGAACTCACTGGCTCAGCCAGTAACAGACTTCCCCGCTTGGACCTCCTGTCTCTCAGGACTCAGGAATCCTCAGGTACTGGGAGGACCATGTGGGGTGACCACCCTTGAATCTAAGTGACAACCTAGTGTCGTGGTTACTGTCTAGAGTTTGTGCTGAGCTCTAGTTGGGCAGCTTAGCTCATGTGCCCACCCCTAACCTATTGTTCCTTCCTGGAACAATAACTTGCCAAGGCCTTGTCTTGTTAATGCCATAAGACAACTTAACTCCTGGAAGTGGTGCCAAAGTCAGCCCCTCTGCAGCTGCATGTTAGAGGGGCAGAATGGAATAGTGGGGAGGCAACCAAAATGTAAATTACAGCATTACTGCCATTACCGTTGATCATGCAATTTTGAATTTTATTAGAAACTTCTATAAATAGCAGTAAGGTTCTCACCCTCACCCTCTCCTTCCTGCCACTTAGTTTTAGCCACACAAATGTCTATAAAATTGGGTAGCTTATTTGGTTAGCTCAGTTTGATTCTGCTTCTTGTTCTTACTGAATTCTCATTAGCTAATCTGGGCTAATCGCTCCCCCTGATGCTTTTGGAAAACTTTTTGTTCCATCCTAGATCATTCCAATTGGACAGGCCACAGCAGGTCTTAGAGATTTTGGATAAAATATATTAAACCCATCTTTCTTTTGCTATTCATGAAAGAAATTCCAATGGTAGCTTTCCTATCAGGTAAGATAGTAAGGGATCTCAAAGTTCCAAGATGTGGTGGAGCAAAACTCATTCCCCTCTTGCTTATTCTTTACTTTCCATTAAATCTGGGTGACTACAAGGATGCAGTAGACTGAGAAAGTGGAGCTTGTGCCTTCAATAAAGTGGGCTGCAAAGTGTTGAGGTTTTTAACACTGCTGTTCATTTTCAAAACATGGTTTTGGTTCAGTAGACAAGCAAAGACAAGTTACTGTTGAGGGAAGTACATCTGTGTTGAATACACGTGCATGTTGAGATCCAAGGCTGAGGATATGCTGTGTGGTTCAGGGCAGCATGTCACCCCAGCTTCCTTCTTGCTGGGCTGTCATTCAGCAGTGCACCACTGTATTCTCCTGTGCTGTCTTAGCCCGGAAGAGCTTATTTTATTTTTACTTCAGTAAAATAAGAATGAAGTGCTCCTCCTTCAGCCTGGAAGAATTTAGTAGACCAAGAAAGATGCCTGCCTTCTTTGGAGTCCTTGAAATCTACTCCCTTCTCTACATACCAGTGGCAACTATCTGGATGGCCGTAGTTTTTCCCTAAATGGACTTTTCCCACTCTTTTGCCATCCCACCCACTCCAATCTCTCATGTATGCCACTACCATAGTGATATTTCAGAAATGTGTATCTGAGAATGCCATCCTCATGTTTTAAACCATTCACAGATAAGTTTGGAAGTTTGAAAGTTTGGAAGATAATGTTCACACTCCAGGATGTAGCCCATAAGATCCTTTCTCCATGCTCTGGCCCCAGCTCTGACTTGTCCATCTGTGCACATATGTACAAGTACACACACATCCTACTTCCTTTGTCTCCTAGAAAGTACCACATTCTTAGCACTTGGCCTTTGTGTTTGCTCTTCCCTTGGCCACCACACACTTCTTCCTTCTCATCTCACTTAGAAAATGTCTACCTCTTGGGGCACCTGGTTGGCTCTTGATTCCATTATGAGGTCATGATCTCATGGTTCATGAGTTCTAGCCACCTGTTTAGGTTCTATGCTGATAGTGCAGAGACTGTTTGGGATTCTCTCTCTCTCTCTCTCTCTCTCTCTCTCTCTCTCTCTGCCCCAACCACACTCTCACTCTTCTTCTCTCTCCATATAAATAAATAAACTTAAAAAAAATACTTTTAATAAAAAAGAAAATGTCTGCCCTCTTCCAGCTTCAGCTTTTGCCTCCTGTCCCCATGGAAGTCCTCCTTGATCCTCAAGTCTGGGTAGATGGCCTTTCCCTGCCATCTTGCCATGCCCTGCACTTTCCCCCATCATAAGTCTTATTACTTATCACACAGTGTTGTTCGCTTGTCTCCACCATTAGATTGCAAGCCCAGTGAGGACAGAGTCTGCATCTGTTTTCCTTGCTGTCGTCTTCATATACATGCCAAGTTCCTAGCACAATGTCTGATCCATGGATTCATTAAGAAATGTGGTACTGATGCTCAGGGGGAGGTCAAGTTGGAGATAGATATTTGTGTGTATAACCCTTCTATGTAAAGAGGTGGTGTGCAATGGGAGAAGTTGGTGGGGACAAGCCAGAGAGAAGATTTAGAGCTACACAGAACCCCTGTTTTATCAGCTACTAGCTTTGTAACTTTGGGCATATTATCCAACTTCACTGTACTTCTTATTTGTAAAATGGGATTTTAACCGTACTTATCTCTGAGGGTGGTTGTATATACTAAATAAGAGTATATGGAATGCACTTAGCATAATCCTTGGAGATAGGTGCCTACCAAATAGGGTGACCATATACCTCAACTCGTATGGGACAGCCCTGCTTCATACCTGTTGTCCCAGCATAATTGTTAAAAGTGCCTCATTTCACTCTTAAAAGGGTTCTGTTTTAGACAATAAATGACATGGTCCCATGACCAGTAGATGGGCTATTAGAAGCAGAGAGGAGCTCTGAGATTAGTTGATCCATTCTTTTCCCATTTCACAGGTAAGAAAACTGAGGTCAAGAGAAAGGGCTTGCCAGAGGACATTTATCTACTTAGTGTCAGAACTGGGTCTCCTAACTTGGAAAGAGGTGTTACTTTTAATGACCTTCTCTGGCTACCTTCTTAACTCCAGGGTTTTTGAACATTTAATGATCAGCTTCAATAGATCTTGAAAGGCAGTCAGTATACATTAACCAGTCAAATGAAATTACCCTGTAATCCCCCTATCCCACCGCTCTAGCATTTTCTGAACTGTCTCTTTCCCCAACCAAGTCTTAATCTTTTCTCCTCCCCACCCCAAATTACATCTTTGACTAGTCTCTATGGATATATGTCAGTGCCTCCCTGGCCTTTTGATTTTAAGTAGTTTTGCTCACCCACATTTACTCCATTTATGTGGTTATCTCTGTTTCTTCTCTGTTTAGCCAGAGCCCTAGGAGGATGGGGCCTGCCTATCTGTTCTTATATCATGTCATTAGCTGTGAACCAGCTAATACATATTTTTAGGGATGACGATTGAAAAAGAGTCTAAACCCTCTTCCCAGGGTGTCCTTTCTTTCCCCTAGTGAGGCTTGAGCAAGGAGATCTCTAACCTGGAAAATTAACCCACATGAGGCTACAATACCTCTTCCAAATGCTCACCACAGAGGGAATTAATTTCAGTGAACAGATAAGCTCTGCTGTGGTTTACTTAAACAAACAAAACCAATCTTATTATCTAATAGATGTGCTTGGATTTTATTTATTTTTAGTGTTTTAAAATCCCAAATAGCAGTATTCAGTCAGTGTGATTATTATTTTTTCTCATTCAACAGAATTTAGCTCTTAACGACTTGGCCATTTTTCAAAATTAAATCTACCTTTTAACTGAAGATGATTTATCCCCACTCAGGGCATTTCAAAAGAATATACCTTGTGCTGTAGAGAGCCTTGCGAACAGGCTCTGGAGGGACCTGCACAGCTGGGCGTTACTGAGAGGCCTTCGACACCAGTTAGGGGAAGTTGTTGGCAGTTAACTGTCTCCTGGTTGGTGCCCAGACCTCTCCATGCCAGTGTCTCCCTCTCTTGAGGCAAATCCCACAACCTTTGCAGTAGTGAAGGTGTGGAACAGCAACAAATGAACAAGACCTGTTTGCTCTCCCTAAAGCAGAGAGGGTTCCCCCGCCATTCCACCAGAACTGAGGAAAAAAAAAGAGGGAGGAAGAGAAATAGTCATATTATGTTTTATTTACACAGCATCCAGACGTGAAGGAAAATGGAAAGAAATCACATGGACGATCCCTCATGACCAACTTTGGAAAACATAAGGTATGAATTAAGAGCGACAAATGTGCATGATTCAGTTAATTTCAAGAAACTAGAGAGTAACAGGACAGTATCATTGCGACTTTGGAATAACTGAAGATTTCTTAAATAGGACTCCAGAAAAGAAAAAGATTAATAAGCCACTTTAAAATTTAAGAGCTTCTGTTCATTAAAAGTATCAAAAAGCGAAGAGCATACTGGTAAGAGTATTTTCAATATATATATCCAACAAAGGACTTGTATCTTGAATATATAAAGAATTCTTATAAATCAATAAAAAGATCCCATAGTTTTGTTTTGTTTTGTTTTGTTTTGTTTTTTTAAGTGGGAAAAAGACTTGAGTGGGCTTTCACAAAAGAAGATTTCCAAATGGCTAATATGGAAAAGGTGGTCACCCTTATCAATCCTCTGGGAAATGCAAATTAAAATGGTGATGAGATTTCCTACATATCCATCACAATAGGAGACATAAAATGATTGACAGCACTAAGGGTTAGTGGAGATGCTGAGCAACTTGATCTTTATACACTGCCAATGGGAGTGTGCATTTGTGCAACTACCTCACACTGTTTCACAGTATCTACTAACGCTGTATTGTGCACCATGTCTTATCAGTTCCATTGTTGTGTTTCAGCCTCATGACATATACCTAATATTTATAGTGACATTATTTGTAATAGAATAAACAGGAAACAGTTCAAATGTTTGTCAACAACAGAATGTGTAAAAATTGTGATATATTCACATAAGGGAATATTTTTCAGCAATGAAAATGACACAATTACAACTTTTTGCAATAAAATCTTTATAAACATGACATTGAACAAAAGAAGCCAGATCCAATGTAGTACATACAGTTTGATACCATTTATATGAAGTTTAAAAACAGGCAAAAAAGATCAATGAGGTCAAAGTCAGGATAGTAGTTACCTTTAGGGAGAAGGTAATGACTGAACGGGAGAGTCAGAAGGCTTTTGGACAGCTAATCCTCATTTGGATGTAGCACTTTGTGGAAAGTCATCATGCTGTGTACTTAAGATTGTATTTTTCTAAATGTGTACTATACTTCAATAAAAAGGTAAAATGTGTTATACAAGAAATCAATTATTGAATGGTAAACTTTATGCATGAGGTTTCTGTAAGGCTATTTCCTGTACTTTAAGTAGTGTTGTATCTGGAGTTTCCTGCTCCATCAATAGGATAATTTATTAAAAGGTTGGACAAGGTAGTCATTATAATAAAAAATTAAAAACAACAAAAATGTTCATCTATAAAGACTTATTCAGTCCATGATTCATTCACAGAATGAATAATTATACAGCCGTTGAAAGATGATCACTCTGAAGAGCTCAGCATGCAAAACATTGAGTAAAGGAGTAAGGTCAAAAACTGATTATGTAGTACGTTAACTTTAATAAGATGTCACATCTATATAGAAAGAAAACATATCCTCATTTTTCCAAATACTAGGCCATTGGCGATTCATTACTTATTTCTACATTTTACATTTTATATTTAAAAATGAACTTTGGGACGCCTGGGTGTCTCAGTCCGTTAAGCATCCGACTTCGGCTCAGGTCGTGATCTCGCAGTTCGTGGGTTTGAGCCCTGTGTCAGGCTCTGTGCTGACAGCTCAGAGCCTGGAACCTGTTTCGGATTCTATGACTCCCTCTCTCTCTCTGTCCCTCCCCTGTTCACACTCTGTCTCCGTCTCTCAAAAAATAAATAAATGTTACAAAATTTTTTAAAAAATGAACTTTAAAAAGACAGATCTATTATTATAATACCTCAAGTTACTGACGATCTGTAGAATTGGAGAAAATTTCATTTCTGATTACAACTACTCATTTGAATTAAAATTATTTTCCAAAGTAAATCTTTCATGGAATATTTTAGCTGCTATAGAATTAAAATGTATTATATCTCAAATCATATGAATGAATGTTCATAAGACTACATACAGCTTATCTTAATAAACAGGATTTTATTATTTATATTGAAAGCTAACATTATGTAGCTGACACAGTGACTTTCCACCTATCTCATTCAATCATCACAATAATCCTTTAAAATTGTTGTTACTGTTCTGTCCTTTTAAAAAACACAATAGGAAGCTGGAGAGGTTAGCCAGCTTGGTGATAGGCCAAGATGGAACATGAAATCATCAGATGCTAGGGTTCCCACACTGTGCTCCCTGAGGTTCTCAAAACATCAGTAACACCTGAGAAGAATCCAGATTAAATTGGTGCCTTGTTATCAGTGCAATAGACCTGAGTGTGTTTGTGCCAGCTTGGGGTTTTATTTGTTGAGTAAGAGAAAATCTGGAGAGTGATATGGCCCCATGGTAACGCGGGGGTGGGCTCCCTTTTCCTTCCTAAGCTGCAGTCCTCAGATATCCAGGGAACTCATCTAAAGGTCTTACTTTTGTTTGTGGAAGGCGTAGTTTTGGTGGCAAGGTTTTCTGCAATTAGAGGGTCCCTCCCCATCTTTTGTTTTTCTGTTACGTATTGATAAATATTGGGGTTATCGCTAATGTGTTGGGATGAAACTGCATCATTCCAAAAAGGCTTTTTTTCTGACAGCCTTTAGTCCTACAGCCTTTCACCCTAAATCCTGTGGGTAATAATTTTCATCCTTTTGCTAGAAATTAAAATGAACCACAATCTCAAAAGTGTAGTTTGATTTAGGCAGTTATTTGAATGCATGCTGATCAAAAGCAGGAAAAAGTTATTCGTGAAAAAAAATTACTACTGTCTTTTTTTAATCAAATTTGCCTTTTTTGAGTCAGCAGGAGTAGTAAGTTTCCTAAATAAGAGAATATTTTATCCCCTTACAGTCATTTAAATAGATGTGACAACTCTGACCCTTCCATTCATGGAGACCTCCAATGCATGACTAATAAAGTCTTTCTAAAATCTATAGCTTATGTGGCTTAGAAGTCAGTCTTAAAGCATGAAACCCTCAGTTTTGCCTTAATATTCTAATATGATTATGACCATAGGCATGTTTGTTATTGATAGTAAGGCAAGCTGCAATATTTGGTTAATTTGTTTTCTTCCAGGTAATTGTCCTTTTTGTATATATTATAATGCTGAGTCCATTCTCCATACGTTGTAGATGTACCTGATGCAGTGAGTTTGTTGTTAAGTTTACTGTGATTTTTCCGGCAGAAAACCACAAAATCACGGTCTAAGTCTTATAGTACTGATGATGAGGAAGACACACAGCAGAATTCTGGCAAGGAAACTGGCCAGCTGTACAGGTAAGAATGTCCACGTTTTTTGCTCAGCCTCCTAGAGCCTCTCCACCCCCATCAGCTTGCTTCGTTGTATGTATCTAGAGAATCAAGTCACATGGTCAAGTGCTCAGTGCAGCAGGACCTGTGAAGATCAACTGGGTATGAGATAATAAGACATGTAAGGGACTTACACTGTGCCTGACACTCTTCCCAAGCAGTAGCTATAGAGAAGAGAGAGGGGCCACATGAGCTAGTACAGGGAGCTCTCCTAGGTGACTAAAGGAGAAGATGGGTCATGAGCACATGTTAAGAGCCAGGCATCTGAGATCAGCCAGACTTGAAACTCTTGCTCCTTCGACATTAACATGGGGCAAGTTAGGCTTCTCATATGTATCTATTTCTTAGGCTCATTGTAAAGATTAAAGGAAGTAAACTACTTAGCCCAATAATCCCTATTCCAATGAACTAAGCACTCAAAAATATTAGCTACTTTTTTTTTTATTATTGCCAATAGAATTTCAGATGAGTAAGATGATTTTCTGGCAGTTTGTGTATACAGTAGAGTCACAGAGGAATGTAAATTTTATCATAGATAAATGCACACACACACCCCTGTGTCTTTATTGAAAGACTGAAATTAAATGAAATTAAGAGCATGTAGGAATGGATGACATTTAGTGCTCAATTAAATTTTATATTTAGCTTCACTTTGACGGAATGTTCATACATAAGAGAGTAACTAGTGAGGGCAGAGAGGATGTGTGTGGTTCCTACCCTTAGGGTACAGAAAATTGAACACATATCTACAGTAAAGGATATAAGAGTGATGGGATCACCTTCCAGGAGACCTCTGCTGTGAATGTTCTCAAATAGAAGTCCAGGTTCTCCTGCCAAAGTGGAGGAAATGTCCAGTGAACTCTGGTGTTCCTCACTACCTGGGTAACAATGGCAATCAAGCCCTTCATGACAGAACTCACAAATACATAAGAGGACCCTGTGATTCTCAGATGAGCATTGAATAAAACCACATGAGTTAGGGTGTTGTGATGGAAAGAGAGCTGAACTAGGAATCAAACTTGGGTCCTAATCCTGGCTCCATTAGGAGCTGGTAGGGAAGGTTGAGTAACCAAAAGCCCGAACGTCTTCCAGCTCTACAATGACATTTAGTCCTGGGTGTGTATTTCGCAGGTTGGGTCGCCGAAGGAAAACCATGAAGCTCTGCCGAGAGCTCTCTGACTTGGTGGTGTATACAAACTCCGTGGCAGCCCAAGACATTGTGGATGATGGTAAGGACTGAGTTTTTCTTCTAGGATAAATTCTTGACCTTTCTTTGTCAACTGTTTGTTAATCATCAGCACACATTTCTGGAACTGTGTAGAATCCAATGTAAGTGTCAGGAAACTGACTGCCAGTATAATGCTTAGTTCACCAGGAGGAGTATATTGATTACTGTGGTTGCCTGATTGGCTGGAGCTAGAGAAATTTCCTTCAGGGCCGAGGAGGACTTCATTATTCTGCAAAGACAAATGCATTACAGCAAGGTCTTGCCCAAGGCGTGAACTATGGAGACCTGACCTAGTTTGGTGGCCAGGTAACAGATGGATGTTCCTAGTGTGAATGACCAGAAGAAAGAAGAAATTAATTGGCTAAACTAGCACCTCAAAAAGCCCCATATTTTCTCATTGGAAGTTTTTACTTTGATGAAAATTATTTATTTATTTATTTTTTAATGTTTATTTTTGAGAGAGTGCGAGAGAGAGAGCATCCCAGATAGAGTGGGGAAGGGGCAGAGAGAGAGAAGAGAGAGAGAATCCCAGAGTGCAGAGCCTGATGTGGGGCTTTGAACTCATGAACTGTGAGATCATGACCTGAGTAGAAATCAAGAGTCAGACACTTAACTGACTGAGCCACCCAGGCACCCCAACTTTGATGAAAATAATTTCATGCACAAATTGAAGTTTTAGCAGAAAGAGCAGGGATTTCAGAAGGATGGACTTTTCACTGTTTTTCACCTATTATTTGCCTTGTGTTGAGCTGAGAAATCCTAGTCACAGGTGTTCTTACCGTGGACTTTTCTGCTCTTCTTTCCTTTACCCTCTTCCCTTCTCATTTCTATTTTGTTCAGTTACTGAATATGCTTATAGAAATGAAGTACAGTCATGTGGCTTTTCAATCTAATTTTAATTTTAGTGGAATGAAATGTAAATTAAAAATCTCTCATTTTCCCAACAAGTCTTAGTGAAGGGAAAATGACATTTTGGTGAGTCTTCTGTCCATTACAAACCTCCAGGATTCTTCCCTCAGATCTGTCTTTTTTGTTTTTCCCATTCCACAAGTGTATCTTTTTCTGTGTACAGATTTTCTTACCTTTTGTGTTGATTCCTTCTTCAAATGGTGACAATTAAAAAAAAAAAAGTAATTTCACATGAGGGAACATGAGAAACTGTGGTTTTCTTAGCAAGTGAACAATGCATCCTTATAATAACCACCCATAGCTAGAAAATAAACTCAGTGAGTGGTTTAATGGTGTTACAGGTGTATTTGGTTTAGAGGAATATAATTTCTTTTTTTAATTTTTAAAAAGTTTTTGTATATTTATTTTTGAGAGAGAGAAAGAGAGAGACCAAGGGAGGGGCCAAGAGAGAGGGACAGAGAGAGAATCCCAAGCAGGCTCTGCATTGTCAACACAGTGCCCGATGCAGGGCTCGAACTCACAAACTATGAGATCATGACCTGAGACGAAACCAAGAATTGGACACTTAATCGACTGAGCCACCCAGGTGCCCCTAGAGGAATATAATTTCTAATAAATACTTTAAGTAATCATAATTCTCTTAGCTTAATGGAAAATAATATTGAGTACTCTTTAGCTCTTGAAGTTAGGAGTTTTTGTTGTGTGTGTGTGGCCACAAAATGAGCATTAAATAATGAATGCATGTCTTATCCCAATGCAAAGCAACTCAAATCTATTCATATGCTAATTTATATGTGCCTAATTAGTAAGGTCATCTTAATGATAATGTGTACATATTTATGTGGAGAGACATAGAAAACAGTGGTACTGATTATAGCGTTTGTGCATCTGAATGTGGCTTGTCAAAAAGAGCGTATTTCTTCCTATCTTGTTTAAAGCATTGCTCATCAAAATCTGCAGAAGATTATTTTTAGTATGCTTGACATATGTAAACTTTGTTAATAAGTATGTCAATAAAATATATGTGATAAGGAAAGAGTCTATATGAGGGAAATCATCTAATTAAAAACTGCAATGCTCTTATTTCTTTGCCTCTATCTTGTATACATGATCATCCCAAGTTCCATCTCTAGAGTGTAACTGGCAGTCATTTGGCCAGCATTTAATATCTAAGGGTATACAATCCTGAGGACAACAGGGACTCTGGGAAACTGTGTGCTCCAATGAACATGCAGTGTGGGTATGGTTCTGGCCCAGCTGGCCCAGCAAGACTCTGTAGTTCAGCTCCTTGGCTATATGAGCTGTGTCCCTCAGTCTGGGTTCCAACATATTTAGCTTGTCAGAGTAAACACTGAAATGGGAATGAGGCTCTGGGCAAGTTTGGTTCTTTATTTAGGCTGGCTTCTTTCAGAACACATATGGCTGGTCATTTTGGAGGTAGGGTGTGGATGTTTGGTGAAGGGGTAGGAGTAGTAGGGGCATTATAGACATGGGATTGGGAGGAAAGGGTAGGAAATTGAATGCTTGGTGGGAGGTTACCTCCATCATGACCCTCAAATTGGCAGCCACCTTGGCCCTGGATTGACACCTCCTGATGATAGTCAGGAAATGTTAATATAGGCTTCCTGTTCTTTTTCCTCCCTTTATATTTCTCATTGTATGTATGGAGGGTGGATGATGGTTCTTGTTTCTGAGATTTTATTTTTTTATAATGCTCTTTACAAATCTTCCTCCACTATTACTCCTACTCATAATTCTATCTAAGTTAACATTAAAACCCTTTTTTTTCTTTTTTGGAATTGGTCTTTTATTTTCTTGGACCCTGAATGCTATCCGTTAATATGTGTTTCACATGAATGTTTTGTAGATGAATGCCTTCAATGAATGTCTCCCTGTGGTCAGGAATAAGTTTCATAGTTTTATTTATCCATGACTGTCTATATCTTTGGCAAAGATACTCTGTTGGACTCATGCCCCTAAAAAGCAATTTTTGTGCCAGCCCTCATCACATTAGCCAGATAGACATGAATTAGTGACATGTTTTGAATTCCTGGGAGAACAGGGGACTCAGAAACATGCAGTTATGCCAGCCAGACGTGCACCTCTGATTTGGCCTCGAAATGGCTAAAGAGTCCTCAAAATGGCTAAAGAATGGGGCTTTATGGATCTTTCTTGGTTAGAAGCTACTGCTACTCTGGTTGAATTCACTCTTTTGCTCTGCATTTTATTATGGGTATAATCTGACGTAGGTAAAAGTCCTTGGTGACTGGTGTTTTCTTGGCAGGGGCTCTCACTTTTCTTTTTCCTTTATTAAAAACTGCCAGGCACCACAGGGAATGTGTTATCATTTAGCGAAACAAGAGCCCATCAGGTGGTTCAGCAGAAATCGGAGCAGTTCATGATTTATAACCAAAAGCAGCTCACGAGGATTTACCCCTCTGCTTACCGCATTGATTCCAGTAACTTCAACCCTCTGCCGTACTGGAACGCAGGCTGCCAGCTAGGTGCGTATGCCTTGGGAAGAAGCGGTTCTCTGTATGTCCTGACTCTATGCTGCTGTCTTGCCTAATTCTCTCAAACTTTGAACTTGCACAGTGGCACTGAACTACCAGTCTGAAGGGCGAATGATGCAGTTAAATCGAGCCAAATTCAAGACAAATGGCAATTGTGGCTATGTCCTCAAACCCCAGCAAATGTGCAAAGGTGTGTGTTCATTTCATGGTTGTCTCTCTGAATGCAGGTAACCTTATTGAAGGAACTCTCTGCAAAATGTGATACATCAGTGTTCTCCAACATGATTCTTATAAAAAAATTTTGATACTGATTTACTTTTTTTTTTTTTTAATTTTTTTTTTTCAACGTTTATTTATTTTTGGGACAGAGAGAGACAGAGCATGAACGGGGGAGGGGCAGAGAGAGAGGGAGACACAGAATCGGAAATAGGCTCCAGGCTCTGAGCCATCAGCCCAGAGCCCGACGCGGGGCTCGAACTCACGGACCGCGAGATCGTGACCTGGTTGAAGTCGGACGCTTAACCGACTGTGCCACCCAGGTGCCCCGATACTGATTTACTTTTGAGAGAGAGAGAGCATGTGGGGAGGGGCAGAGAGAGAGAGAGGGAAACAGGATCGGAAGCAGGGTCTGCACTGACAACAGAAAGCTTGATGTGGGGCTCGAATCTGTGAACATGAGATCATCACCTGAGCCGAAGGCATCCACTTAACCGACTGAGCCACCCAGGTGCCCCTGCAACATGATTTTTAAAAAAATAGATAGGTTAAGGTATTGGCATGCAAATTGTCACAACTGTTTAATGTTTGGGTAGCATGGTGTTTAGAATGTTCTCTTGTGAGGTTTTTTATGTTAAGGGGGACGTGGATAGCCATGGATCATTATCTGAAACCCAGTGTCCCAGCGTGATACTCCCTGGGCTCACTTATAAAATTGTGCTGCCTTTTAAGGTCTGAGCCCCGTCTTTCAGAAACTCCGTGAGTATAAGTGAGTCTGAAACCTGCTAGCAAAATTAAAATACCACCTGAAACAATTGTACCAAGCCCTTTTAGTCTTTGTTAGCGCTAACAAAAAAGAAAAGATAATGTAGCGTTAGATCAAGAAACACTTCTTTTTGGCTCTGCTCATTAAAATTCTTTTAAAAATTTCCAAATTGGCTTTTTAACAATTCAGGTAAAAAAGCGTTGACAGATGTGCCTTCTGGATTTTATGCTTTGCATGTTTTCTTACTCTTCTGTTTACTCAGTTTCAGGTCTTCTTTCCGTTTGTTATATTCACTGTCTATACCTATGATAGTTTAAGTTAGGGGATTATTCACATCTGACATAACTGCTCTTCTTCTCTACACTATTGGCATTCCAATAATATGCTTCTCTTCCCTCATGCCATGATTGATAATTGCATCACAGATGTTTCAAATTGGCCCATTCTTTTGCCTTTGGGAGCATGGATTCTAGCAAAAACCACAGCTATAGACATGCCAGCTGGCATTGCCTTCGGTCAAAAGCCACACTGATAGTTACATGATCATTTCTTTTCTCTAAAAAACACTGTAGTAATTCAGCATTTGCTGTTTCTTTGTTCTACATGCTTAAACTGTGTGTGTGTGTGTGTGTGTGTGTTTTCCCATGTTACCAGCCTCAGATTTTAACCTCCGCTTTATTTGGCTTAGGTACTTTCAACCCTTTCTCTGGTGATCCACTTCCTGCCAACCCCAAAAAGCAGCTCATCCTGAAAGTGATCAGCGGACAGCAACTCCCCAAACCTCCAGACTCCATGTTTGGAGACCGAGGCGAGGTAAGCCACATGTATGAACATGTTAATTACGTGATTATTTTATTATGTTTATATTGTATCTGAAATATCTTCAGAATTCTCTGTCTCTCTCTCTCTATGTGTGTATGTGTATGTGTTCACAAATGAGCACTGACCTCAGCTCATCAGATATCAACTGACTTATGGGCAAAGCACACATGGTTCCTTCTGGAATGCAGTGTACCTTCTATTTTGGAGGCATGCTCATGTCCTTCTTCTCAGAGAAGGTCTATCACCGCAGGCTCTTTGCCTGGATCTTGAATGTTGACTGGGGACACCACACAGCTCTGGTGTTCGGTTCCACCCTAAGCTCTTTGTTGCAAATCTCAGCTGACCCGTGATACCCTGCGGCCATCCACCTCACCTTGTCAACCTTCCTTCCCATTCTCCACAGTGGCCATTTCCAGCCTTCTCTCTCCTCGAACCTGTGTTCTCATCACTTCCTTCTCATCTTCAACAGATGGCACCGTGTCCTACTTCTCAGAAAGTAGGAACTTCATATGGGACCATTTGTTCCATCTCCGTTGCCTCTAGCCTAATCCACACCACCATTGTCTCTTGTCAGTTCTGCTGTGGTAACCTCCCCGCTGACTGGTCTCCCTGTGGCCATTCTGTCCTCTAAGCAGCAGGAGTAATTGGGCAGTGTCAGAATATGTATCCTTACCTCTCCTTTCCTTCTTTCTCTTCTTCACTGTCTGCAAAAATGAGGACTCACTTCTTACCTTTTCTCTCAAACTTTTTATTTTGAAAATTTTTAAACCTCAGAAAAGTTGGAATAGTAAAATTAATGCCACATCTCCAGCACCTAGATTCACTTATAAAATTACAAAATTTGTTACGTTTCCTTTCTCTCTCTTTCATGTGTAAATGTATTTATGTATGTGTGCATAAGTATATTTTATGTGTGTGTGTGTGTGTGTGTGTGTATATATATATATATACATACATATACACACAAGTGCAAATACACACATTTGCATTTCTTTGCAGTCATTTGAGAATAAATTATTGGCATTATGACCTTTGACCCCTAAATACATACCATCTTCAGCATTTATCTCCTAAAAATAAGAACGTTCTCCTGTATAGCCATAATAAAGGCATGACTTTTAACATTCATGCAATAATATTATCTAATATAAAATCAATATTCAGTTTTCTCCAGTTATCCCCAAATTGTCCTTATGTCCTTTTTTTTTTTCTTTATGTATTCAGGATCCAATCAAGGATCACACATTGCTTTTAATTGTCATTTCTCTCTGGCCCTTTTTTTTTTTTTAAACAACAACAACATTTTTAAATGTTTGTTTATTTTTGAGAGACAGAGAGAGGCAGAGCATGAAGGTAGGGGGTGGGAATCAGAGAGAGAGAGAATCACAGAATCTGAAGCAGGCTCCAGGCTCTGAGCTGTCAGCACAGAGCCCAATGTGGGGCTTGAATTCATGAACCGTGAGATCATAACCTGAGCTGAAGTCGGAGGCTTAACTGACTGAGACACCCAGGTGCCCCTCTCTGGTCCTTTTAAATTCTACAGCAGTCCTCCGGCTTTCTTGTTTTGTTTTCATGATATCGACATTTTACAAAATGCCCAAGTCAGTTATTTTTAGAATGTCCTTCAATTTGAATTTAATGTCCTGATTGCTTCTTCATGAATGGAATAAACATAAATGTATTTGTCAGGAGTACTCCCTGGGCAATGTTGTGTCCTTCTCAGTACATCACATCAGGATCTGTGTGATGTCACTTTATTCAGTGATTGATCACATTACTTGAATAAGGGGGCTTCTTCCAGGTGTTTTTCATTGTCTAGTTATCTCTTTACCTTTGTAACTAATATATAGTGTGGGGGAGTTAGAGTAATTTTTTATATATATGAGGAAATATGGTTTTTTTGGTCATTAAAATAAAACCCAATCTCCTTAACTTGGCTTATAAGGTTCTCTATCAGGAGATTTCAACTTTTCTTGAGCCATGGAACCCTTTGGTATATAATGTGGCCATCTGGACCCCTTCTAGAATAATAATTTTGATGCATAAAATAAAATATGTAGGGATATACTGGAAATCAGTTATATTGAAATTCACTTATCAAAATATTAAAAATAAATTGTGATATGCATATACCTATTAATGCAATAAATAGCAGGATCTAGGGGTTGGTTTATTAACTATTAGAATTTTGAAGCCGTGATAAATGTAGATGATACATGGAAATTTCTGCAACAACTGTAATAGGACACAAAAGCATCCATGATTTCTACCAGATACAAAATTACAATTCTAGTACTATTATATTGGGCTTTAGTCATAAGCTAATGAAAATAAAGATAAGATAAAGATACAGTTTTTCCCCCTATCCAGGCTCCCTGAATTCTCAACCCATGATCTCTCACATTGTTTATCCATCTGAGAATGAAATAACCATTAGTCTTGCTTTCATTCAGAAAACTGATTGTCATCTTAAATTTTCATCTTGTCTTTGCTCTCCACATATGATATATTACCATCTCCTTGGACTTCTACCTCCCACACCTCTTTCCAGTCTTGCTGCCAACCATCCAATTCTGTTCTTCCAGCATCTCAGCTGGATTACCGTATGTGGAAGCAGACACTGGTGTCTCAGGTTTGCATTTGAGGAAACTGAAGCACAGATACTTGCCTAAGGCAGCACAGGAGCCAAGTTTTGAAGCAGGAAGTTGCTCTTCAAGTCTGTGGTTTTCTTGAATTCCTTATGAACAGAAGTCAGAAGTCATACTTATTAGTTGCCCCCCAAAATCTGAGCTACCCAATTGTCCAGTTTTAGCCCAGGGTTCTATTAAAAGGAAAAACCTCTAGCATAAAATGCCCTATTGAAAATGAATAAACATCAGAGTTTATGTAGTAGACAAAAAGTATGTGTATCCACCCAATTTTCTCAGCATGTTTTTCCAGCATTCTTCTAGCTCTTATTCCCTGAAGCTCCCCCCAAAACACCATATTCCCCTTACTTCCCCAGTTCCTAGAACATGTTTTCTCAGACTTCATTAGTCTCTCCTTTACACTTTTAGATCTGCTCTTTCTGGACTCTTTAGGTTCCAGTCTTTCATTGCTCATTATCCAGAACTTGCATGATAAAAGAGCTTATTTGCATAATAAAATCAGCATCCCTTCTGGAGGATAGGGGATGTAGGGGATGTGGGAAAGAAGACTAAGCATTCAGTTTTTCTATTGATTCCTTCTTAGTCTTTTAATTTTTTGACCTAATATAACTTTAAAAGAGCAGTTAAGTGTCTGACTTCAGCTCAGGTCATGGTCTCATCAGGCTCTGTGCTGACAGCTCGGAGCCAGATCCTGCTTCAGATTCTGTGTCTTCCTCTCTCTCTGGCCCTCCTCTGTTCACACTGTCTCTCTGTCTCTCTCAAAAATAAATAAACATTAAAAAAAAATTAAAGTTACATTATAGTACTCAGTTGATTTAAATACAGTAAAGTGCACAAATCAAATGTGGATAGCTTGATTAATTATTGTTTATGCAACCCAGATCCAGACAGAACATCTGAGAACCCCCCAAGAGGCTTCTATTCACTCTTCCAGTAAATATTTATTCCCAACCCCCAAATCAAACACCAACCCCTATCACAACAGATTAATTGTGCTATGCTCAACTTGTATGTAAATGGACTCTTATAGAATGTACTCCTTTTTTTTTTTAAGATTTTATTTTTTAAGTGATCTCTGTACCCACTGTGGGGCTCAAGCTCACGACCCTGAGATCAAGAGTTGTAAGCTCTTCCAACTGAGCCAGCTAGGCACCCCTAGTATATTCTCTTCTATGTCTGAATTGCTCAACGTTATGTCTCTGTACCAGAACTTTTTCTTTTTCATTGTTGTATGATAGTCATGAAATGAATAGTCCACAATTCATCCCTCCTACTCATGATACACATGTAGATTGTTTCCAATGTGTGACTATTATGAATATGGCTGCTCTGAGCATGGACAAAAGGTCTCATTTCTGTTGGGTATATACCTTGAACTGGACTTGTGGGTTCATTGGATAAAATTTGTGTAGCATCAGTAAATACTGGCAAACAAAAATTTAATCTTCTAGTTATGTTTCATATATCTAAATCTGTTGTTCAGTTTCTCTTTCTTAGTAAGCACCTAATAAAATGGTTTGCTGTTGAAATGTGGCCAATATTCTCAATTAACACACACATAGAAATGTATCAGTTGTAATAATACTCTCTTTATTTACGTAGATCATTGATCCTTTTGTTGAAGTTGAAATTATTGGATTGCCAGTAGACTGCTGTAAAGATCAAACTCGCGTAGTAGATGACAATGGTAAGATGATAATCTGTTTGCTTTTCTTTTTTTAATGGTTGGTTATTTATTTCTTTATTTATTTTGAGAGAGAGAGAGAGAGCGCGCGCGCGCGCGCGCAAATGGGGGCGGGGGCGGGGGGTGGGTGGGTGGCTGCGGTGCAGAGAGAGAGGGAAACAGAATCAGAAGCAGGCTGGAGGCTCTGAGCTGTCAGCACAGAGCCTGACACGGGGCTCAAACTGCGAGATCATTGACCTGAGCTGAAGTCAGGCGCTTAACCGACTGAGCCACCCAGGTGCCCTCATAATCTGTTTACTTTTTATCTAGAAGCTCTAAAAATAAAATTTGTACTGAAAAAGAAAAATTTATCTATGTGGAAAAGAAACAGATCCCTAAAATTTGTAACCGCCATTTGAATTTTATATTAAAATCTTTTAAACACATAAAAGTGAGTAAATGTGGGTTTGGTGCATGGTATGTTCTGGTGGATGTTGTAATCTAGGCTCCTAAATTCTTTGCTTTTGAAGCAAATTGTGTGTGTGTGTGTGTGTGTGTGTGTGTGTGTGTGTGTGTGTGTGTGTGTGTTTTCCCTAATGAAGAGAATAAATGTTATTTTAAAGGGCTGGGTTAAAAATTAGGAAAATGCCTCTGTGTTTTCATGACATAGTTGCTTCAAAGCTCTCATTCATGAAGCCTACATGTCTTGATGATTTTTCATTCTTTTTCTGGAGCATGTAAAACTCTAAAGGCAAGTGCAGCATGCACTGGCAAGTTGACTTCTTGATATGTGCATCTGGTCTGTTGGCAGCATTCTTGTATTCTGGTCATGATGTAAAACAAAGCTTTCTTTACCCAAGCCTCATGTCTTTTTCTTGGTAATCTTCTTAAATGGGGTTTGTTCATATATATGACAAACATTGTGGCATACCTATTTTTTTTCAGTCTCTAGTAATTAATACTTGAACTCTAAACCTCAATGCTCAAAACATTCAGGAAATTAGAGGTTCATAGTGAGACCCTAGGTATTTTCTAGTTTAAGGAAAGGAATTTGGGGATTCAAGAATAGCATAAGCCTATGACTTTAGGAAATGACATGCTTAAAGGAAGCAAACTTCCTATATTGCATTTTCCTACCAATGCCCATTGGTGGTGTGTTTTTTTCTGGTTTTTGTTTTTGTTTTAGTCTCAGAAGTAATTGAGAGGTCATTACTAAGTTAACAAAAACATAGTCTCTTCTCTTGTTCAGGAGGGGCATCTCAGTGATTTCAGTCCATAATTATTTCCTTACCTGAGGCATTTAATAGGGTCAGGTGGCTGATGCCTTCTGATTGCTGTATTTGATAAAACTTATTTGCATTTTTAGAAAAGAGAAACAAATTTACAGAGTATTTGAATTTTTAGCAGTTTATATAATTATTTTGTCTGAGAAAATTTTATCAAGAAATAAGTGTATTTTTACTTTGAGAATATGCGTTGAATTATATACCTTTCTATTTATTTTCAATGGCTATGAAAATGTATCTTTCATGTATTAAGGTCTAGCTTCATGAGAAGCCACTGGAAAACAATAGGGTGTAGTCTAATTCAGCTCTGTAATTAGTGTGACTTCAGGTGTATTCTTTTCTCGGAATATCAATTTTCTCAACTACAAAATGACTTATAAATACTTACATTTCTTACCTTTAAAAAAGCATTTATAACTTGTGTAATTTAAAAAAGTTGTGTGGTTTTGAAAAATAGTATGTATTTTTTCTGAATTAGAAAAAACCCAAAACCCTGTCTTGCCATCCTTAGAGGATTGCCATTAGAATTAAGTAAGATGCCATATGTACAGTGGCATTGGAACCTGCACAGGACCTTATACAATGTTTGCTGGTGATTATTATAGTAGCAGAATCTTTTGTGGGTGAGAAGAATGATTATATTTGGCAAAGTATCTCTTTCTCTTTCTCTCTCTTTCTTTTTTTTTGCTTCTTTCTTCCTTCCTTCCTTCCTTCCTTCCTTCCTTCCTTCCTTCCTTCCTTCCTTTCTTTCTTTCTTTCTTTTTCCTTTTTTTTCCTAAAACATTATTCTTAGACCACTACTAAAGGTACTCTTTGAGCTTACTGAAGCATTCTGAAATTGCCTAAAGGAACTTTCCCTACAATGCAATTTGGCATCAAAGATTATTAGAATTGATGTAATCATTTAAAGGCAATTTTCCTACCAATTATTTTCTGGCAATGGGGCAAATTCCAAGGCTTTATTTCAGGAAGGCATCCTGGAGTGGCTTGGTCATCTTCACGAGTTTAATAACCATTGCAAGCAATTTTCAGTCTGCTTTGCAGGCGATGCTGCCAATTCATTTTTAGTCAAGCCCTTTGCTTTTCTAATTTTTCTCTTCCTATTTCTCTGAGGATTTAACCCTGTGTGGGAAGAAACCCTGACATTTACAGTACACATGCCAGAAATAGCTTTGGTTCGGTTCCTTGTGTGGGATCATGATCCGATTGGACGAGACTTTGTTGGACAAAGAACCGTGACCTTCAGCAGCTTAGTGCCGGGTAGGTATAGGCTGGCTTTTCCTTTCTAGGCTGACCATTCAGTTTTCTTTGGAAAACTTAATATATGATATGTGATATACACAACATATGGCATATATGATATATAAAGTACGTATTATATGAGTGTTGACATGTTTTATGAAATGTAAAGAATTCTAGTAAAGTCAAATACTTAATTCAGTTGCACCAATGGGAAAGCCAAATGTAAGTTCAAGTAAAAAGAAACTGTTTTCTCTGCTTTCATCAGGCTACCGGCATGTCTATTTGGAAGGACTGACAGAAGCATCCATATTTGTCCACATAACAATCAATGAAATCTATGGAAAGGTGAGAAAGATTGTAGTGCTTAAAGCCACATGCAGCAACAATGCAGTCCTTAACAAACTTATTTTTTGACTAATCGCTTAAGAGGAACATACATCTTGGCAAAGCTGTTCTTTAGCAGAAAACTGTTGAGAAGCGTAGCGAGCCCAGTGTGCTATCCTATCCGGTCCCATCTTGATCCACATGTGTTCCTTCCATTGTTCTGGGGTGTGTGCTCATTGCTTCCACCCAGGGGGGCTCTCTGGGATTATGAGAAAACTGCTATTCTCTCAGATGATCATTTGTTTCACTAAATAAATACATAGTTAAACGTTAAATTTTATTGAAATACTTAAGAGGACCTAGCTGGCTGCAGCAGGAAATGTAGTGTCTCAGAATGTTTGATGAATTACGAGTACTAACCAGACTGTGATTCTAGCCAGTTCTAGGCAGGAGGTGTTCATTTGGTGCCTTTGTATTTAACTGAAAACCTAAAACTCCCCACCCACGGGAATTTTAAGGACTTTATAAGGACTCTTTCTTTTAAGAAATAGACTATAAAAATGTAACCTATTTTTCTCCTCGTGCTGTTCTCTTCAGTACACAGCTCACTTGAGGTTTACAAATCAATGGGCTATCCTGTAGGCACACCAAGTAATTGGGGATTTGGCCACTAGAATGAATTTCCAGGACCAGATGTGATTTGGAAGGACTGTAAGAGCATTGACTAGCACCTTGGAATGTCCAGTGTTCTTTATTAGAAAGTCTCCTGTAGACTTCTATATATTCTCTGTGCCTTATCTTCCTCAGCTATAAATGTAGGGTAAAAATAGTACCTACCTCGTCAATACGCTATCCTTATCCTTAGAAAGCTGCCTACCATATAGTAAATGTTCAAAAATGTTGGTTAATATTAATACTGTTATAACTACAAGCCAAATTCTAGGGAGTGGACCGATTCAGGCTGAATTAGAGGGTATAATGTTTAGCTGTACATCGGCTGGTATGGGAGGGGCACTAAGGATTGTAATTTCTAAGAGTACTGAAGTTTTATTCTGTGATGTTCTGTGTTTAATCCTTGGTTTCTGCCCATGCTGTTTGTTGAAATGCTTCCTCTGGCACAATTGCACACAAATGTAAACGTTAGAAAATGATTCTTGAATTTCTAGGAATCCCAGGTTACGAAAGTAGTAGTATCTCTAGCATTTATCAGGCTTGAGGGAAACAATAAAATTCAGAATTCGTTTAAAACTTGAACCAGAAATAAATTAAAATGTGAAAAAGAAAGTGTTCCATAGGATTTCCATGTTCCTACATAGATGTCTTCCTCAAGTCACATTATATATTACTTTCAAGGTGTATTTGGGTTGGGATACATAATCCACAATGCGGAGGTGATGAGCTGAGCAACGAATGAACCTGTGACTAACACTCACCGAAAGTGGAAGAAAGGGTTTATAGAAGCATTTTTATTCTTCTCCTTGGTTTTTACTTGTGCCACTTTTCTTGAATGAGCCCAAATTGTGTTTTGTTGTGTTTTGTTTTTTTCCCTTGCAGTGGAGTCCTTTAATACTCAACCCCAGTTATACTATATTGCACTTTCTAGGAGCTACAAAGGTAGTTTCTCAGCATGGTGCTTTGTTCTTGCCGACATATTTCTTTTTAAATGGTTATGGCAGCATGCTCTCTCATATCACTCCATTTCCTGCTTACCACTTTGAAACATGCATCTGTTGCTTTAAGGCGGCCGAAGTTCATAACAGTCTATTAAGTGTGGAAACTTTTCCTATCACCTCATCATCTCTGGGTAGGAAACTTCTGGGTAGCTTGGTGGTGAAAATGGAAGGCTGCCTCCTCACAAAGTAAGGTCAATAAGACTTGCATGGTGTTGTGTAGACATGCTGTGAGCTGCCATTTTCTTGGTTTGAATATACTTCAATGGCTGTAAAATTTTGTTTTGTGTTCATTTTTCATGGAGCTGTCATGTCAAAGGCAAGCGGTTGCCACAGTGGGATTTGCTTAACTTGTGCTTCATTCTTTTGTGTCTTCAGAACAGACAGCTCCAAGGTCTGAAGGGATTGTTCAATAAGAATCCCAGACACGGTTCTTCAGAAAACAATTCCCATTATGTTCGGAAACGATCAATTGGAGATAGAATTCTGCGACGCACCGCCAGCGCTCCAGCCAAAGGCAGGAAAAAGAGCAAAATGGGCTTCCAAGAAATGGTAGAGATAAAGGATTCTGTGTCTGAGGCTGCGAGAGATCAGGATGGTGTCCTGAGGAGGACCACACGGAGTCTGCAAGAGCGCCCTGTCTCTATGCCTGTTGACAAAAGTCTGCTGGGGGCTTTGTCCCTACCTGTATCTGAAACAGCAAAGGACACTGACGGAAAGGAAAGCTCCCTGGGTAAGATGCTTTACGTTTCTCTAAGAATAAATCCTTTGAACCCATATTCTGGTCCCTGATTACCATTAGGACCTGGTTGACATTTTATAGTCAAAGTAAAAATATACTAAAAAATAAGTAATTTTTAATGTTACCTTTAGACAGGATTTTAAACTTTGGGAAGAGGGCGGTAGAAGAGCTATTTTCTAGTCACCTAAAGCCTTAAAATAACATCGAAGTTTGTAATGATAGGGCAACGATCAGGTGTGATGGTACAGAGCCCGTGGGTCTGCGAGGTGCCGTGCAGGGAAACCTGCAAAATAGGAGCAGAGATCTTGTTTTACCAAGTGGGTACAAATGTTACTGATGGTTCTGAGGTTAAATAGAATCATAGTGATTCTTCTGAGGTTAACTGTAGTTGCATTTCTTTCCCCAATGTATAACACATTTCCATGATTGGAAATGTTTATGGAGAATGAAGTAAAGCCAGATGTTAACAGCAAGCCATCTTCTTTACTTGAGAAATCTTTGCTTCTTCAAGAGGTAGCTCAGGTGATATTTTCCTGTGGTCTCATTTCCTTGATCCCCAGATACTGGCAGGGAAGGAAGCATGTCCATGGTTCCTGTCCGGTTATAGGCTCCTCAAGCATAGGGACCAAGCATTACCCATCTTTTTCTTAATCTGAGCATAATGCTTTTTCATTCATATCAAGAACTTGATAAAGAATGATGCCTGCTTTGCACGGTACCAAAGAGCTCCTGAATTGTGTCAGTGACTCCTTCCCCCGCCCTTGGTAATTTAAGCACCAAAACTGTCCATTTGATGTCTCTGCAACAAGAGTTTTAATTAAATCGGAATCCAGTCAGACAAGTATGATGTGATACCTATTTACTTTAGGAAAATACTCCTGTTATCAATCAATCTAATTTCAGTCTTCTCTTTTCTCACAAACTTCATTTTGCTTATGTGGATTTTTATTATAAGATATTCTAAGGGAACAAATGAATTTTTGAATGGCTTATTTGAAGAGAAAAAGAGAGTTTAAAGGTTGAAATTTTGCTAGGAGCAGTGTCAGAGAAGAGATGAAATACATACTTTAAAGTTTATTTCAGAACCCCATTTTGGGGGAAGATAAATCTGTACTCAATAGAAATCAATACTGGTTAACCCAGAAAGCAATATTTAGTTGATGTGTGTATCCTCCCTTTAATAGCTATATAAGTTTGTCATTTTCATGTATATTATATGAGACTTATGGTAACAATTGAACAAACATAGCCATGCAATGATTCAAGTTACAATGGAGAAAAAAAAAAGTGGGGAAAATGCAGTATACAAAATTCTGTATATAATTTTGTCCCTCTAAAGAAGGTTACAGTAGCTATCTCTGAGTGGTAACATCATAGGGTATTTCATTTTTTCCTTGATAATTTTTGGGTTTATCAAACTTTTTATGATGGATTTTTCTTTAGTTAGGAAGGCATTTGGTAAGTTAAGTAAATTCTTCTTTTTGATATATCCTGACTGAAAGCATTAAAAAAAGCTATTAATTAGATCAAGAATAATTGAACATTTGATATTATCCTAGCATTATCCTAAGCATGATGGAGTAGCCCAAAGTATTGTGAATTTTGTGTTTTTATAGCTTTCCATATGGTGCCCAATATTTTACTGCCTCTTTTAGGGGAAAATGCAGTATGAAATTTGTGTATTAAAAACAAAAATATGATTAACAAAAAATTAGATATTAGCACCAGCATAGAATTGGTGACCAAGTCTTTAGTTTTACACCTCAAATAGATACTGGTATTTTAATACATTTATTGTACCTTCTAACCTGCTTCAGAACCTGATTAAAGTAGCTGTTTTGCCAAGATGTTTTTTAAAATAATATGATTTGTGATTTTTACTAATACATGTGTAACTTTGAAAGCTTATAGTATCTTGCTTGCAGGTACCACAGTACTTCGTTTAACAGAACTGTCTTGTTCTATTTTTATTGCCATGCTTCTGTGTAGTACAAATCTGAATAGGAAACAACTTAAGGTAATCCTCACTGTAAAAGTATGGTAACTCATTGACATTTTTTTTTGACAATGAATATTACATCCTTAGCTGATGTAATAGATACTCAAAGGGAAGCTTCAGTGAAATTCCTATAAATATAGTTTACCATTTATTCATCACACAGACACTTTGTTACAAACCTCTGCAATCCATAACTATATTCTGTCACGATGTAACAGATCTGCATTCTCCATTTGTCTGTCTGAAGACAAACATGAGTGTTTGCAGGGTCTATAAAAAGCGATACATGTTACCTAAAATGTTCTTTGTTTCATTCAGCAGAAGATAAGGATGGAAGAAAAGGGAAGGCAAGTGTAAAAGACCAACATTTTCCAAATTTCAACAGAAAGTTGTCCTCTTCCTCTAGCGCTCTCCTACACAAAGACATCAGCCAAGGCAACTCCACCACGTCTGTTGCCAGCATGGCAATCACGGGAGAACCGTGGGGAGTGCCAGGTCCTAAGGGTGGGAGAGCCAAAGCAAACGTGTCAAGTGATTGCCGGGAACATGAATGCCCCAGCCAATCCCTCTCCCCGCGGCAGCGTTTGGTTCTTGATCCTGCCGTTACTCCAACACAAGGTCTGTGTGGTGTGAAAACCAAGGAAAGTGGCAATGTGGGGGGCTCTGTGGAAGAGAAAAGCACGTTGTCAGGAAGCATTTTCTCTCAAAGCAATTTGGAGATTAAGAACTTGGAAGGTCACTGGGGTAAGGGCCGAGCTGCAACATCCTTTTCGTTGTCAGACGTCTCTACGCTCTGTTCTGACATACCTGACTCACATTCCACTGCCGTTCTGCATGAGAGTGAAATTTCCCATCTTATTGACGATGTCACTTTAACGAATGAGAGCGAGCCGGGCAGTTCCATCTCTGCCCTGATTGGCCAGTGTGAGGAGGCCAGCGATGAGGCAAACCTCACAGTCGTTTCTCACGTCCATGGTGCCAGTGCCGTGTCACGTCATTCTCCCTTGCCCCCCTTAGATGGAAAATTGCCTTTCAGGCATGACTTTTCCATGGGAAAACCCAGGTCATCCTTCCTGTGCTCATCTCCTGAGCCAATTGCTTTCTCAAGTCCCGAGACCTCCAAACACTCCACACACACAGTTTGCGAAACTACCTGCACTCCTGTCTCTAAAACCAAACCAGATGACAACGTTTCTGGTAAGGCCAAGACGGGGGCTGTGGAAAACAGCCTGCCTGGGTCCTCTAACACTTCTCACTGCCAGTTACCAAAAAGTCCCAACCATGGAAAAGACTGGGAAATGCTAAAGAACCACGGCCCTGCCACTTGCACGGACTCGACGCTGGAAGATGTAATAGCCGATGCCACTCTCTGTTTAAATTCTGGAGAGAGCAGTCTCGTGGAAATGGATGAGGACTCAGAAAACCTGTCTATAACAGCCTATGAATATAGAAGAGAGGACACAAGTCACCTTGATTCTCCTTTAAAACTGAAGTACGGTCAGGATGTGGTGGAACATTTTCAAAGAGGTTTGAGAAATGGCTACTGTAAAGAGACTGTCCACTCTTCTGTCTCTGAAATCTTCAACAATATTCAAGATGTCAAAAATCAAAGCATTTCCTGTCTAGCCTTTCAGGGTGCTGGTTTTATGCATAACACCTGCTCAAATTCAGATGCAAAAACGAACCAGACCTGTGTGCCCCTGTCTAGTGATGAAGCCACGCATGCCCCCATCCCCAAGCAGCCCACACATCCTCCCCTGCCTGCTCTGAAGCTGCCCAGTCCTTGCAAATCCAAAAGTCTGGGGGACCTAACGTCAGAGGACATTGCCTGCAACTTCGAAAGCAAGTACCAGTGTATCAGTAAGAGCTTTGTTACAACTGGCATTAGAGACAAGAAGGGTGTGACTGTGAAGACAAAGTCCTTAGAGCCTATAGACGCCCTGACCGAGCAGCTGCGGAAGCTTGTGTCTTTTGACCAGGACGAGGGCTGTCAAGTGCTCTACTCAAAGCAGGATGCCAACCAGTTCCCTAGGGCACTGGTCAGAAAGCTGTCATCCAGAAGTCAGAGCAGAGTGCGCAATATTGCCAGTCGTGCCAAAGAAAAGCAGGAAGCCAACAAGCAAAAAGGTGTAAACCCCAGCCACGCGGGAGGAGTGGTTCTTCGAAACAAGCCGTCAGCGCCCCTGCCTGCGGGCAACCGGCACTCCACCGGCTCCTACATCGCAGGCTATCTGAGGAGCACCAAAGCCGGGGGCCCGGAGGGCCGCGGCATCCCCGAAGGGGCGTGCGCAGCCTTGCGCCCTGGCTACGTCGACCAGTTTTGTCCGGATAATTCTGTTTTGCAGACCGAGCCAAACAGTGATGACAAACCAGAAATTTATTTTCTTTTGAGACTGTGAATTACGTAAAGCTGCATTTTCAGTGTTTACAAGGTATTCCGTAGAGTTGTCAGAGTTTTCGGTAAATACGGTCTTGGCTTTGAAATGATTTTAAAATGTATTTTTAAACTTGTGCTTTGGTCTCCCTTTGACTCCACATGTTCTTCCTGTTTATGTGTTTGTATATAGATTGGGGTGACATTTCCCATGTGCATATGATCTCTCTTCCCCGAAGTGTAAATGCCGTCAGTAAGAAATATGTGCATGCCCTAGGTGTGACAGTTCTCAGCGGCTTGGGTTATGATGTGTGTACGTTTCTTTACCACCCCCTTTGCTCTGTGTCCTCAGATCACAGTCACAAATGTAGTCAGTTTTACTCTCTAATTGCTGAGTTCGTTAAGAAACTTTGCAAAGGACAAAGGGGTACATTCTTTATTTTAAAGCTATCGTCATCATTCCTAGTTTTCCTTCTTTGCTGAGAAGCCCAAACTCATTTTTATAACTCAGCTAAAAGAAGATTGAAAGGGTTACCCTACCTTTTAAGATTTCTCTACCCCAGGCAGAATAAGAGTTCAAAGGAGATTGGTAGCTGTTCCCCCCACACCCTCTCATTTTAGAGTAGGCTGGGAGGGTGTGAGGGAGAAAACAAACTTCTGTATATAGAGACAAAATTGTTTGTTTTACATAAATTTTGTTACATATTTTTGCTAACGGCTTTGTATGTAACAAGAACACAGTTGCCAAGCTATTTGTTGTACTTTTGAATTTTCTGATTAAATTATAGACTGCAAATAATGGCTTTCAGAACGAGGGACTTCTGTCAGACGCTAACAGTAATTGTAGCACAGATTGAAAACATCCCCAAAGCTGTCGAGCAAAAAAAAAAAAACAAAGCATTTTTCTCATAATAAAATCCAAGTAAATAGATAATTAGAAGAAACCTTTTCCCTTCACGGAGCCACGTAACTATATTTTAGAACCAACATACGTTATTTTCACTGTGAATCCATTTTTTATTGCATGTTCAGATGTCCCTCTCTGCTTTTTTGTAATATTAACTGCAATGATGTTCTTCTTGGAATTCATGGAAATATAATTAAAGCAGATTTTTAAACACTTGGTGAGTGTTTTTTTCAGTTGCAGCTCATATGTGACTGCTGAGTAAGGGACCCAGAGCACTCAGAAATATTTTCCTTTTCATCTGTTCACAGCAGAAGATAGCTTCTACAGGGGATAGGTTTAAGCAGCAATTTATGTCTCTGAGTGTTTTCATTATGATTTAAAGACCATATTTGTAAGGTAACTTGAAAAGAAATCAAATGTAATGAGTTTCTTGCATTTTGTGTTGCTATTGCTAGTTTAAAAATAATCCTTCCCAAATCCTGCCCTGGGCGTGGGGACAGGCAAGATGCTGGGTTCAGCAAATCAGACTACTTGAAGCTTTGTTGTGTGGGGAAAGAGCGGGGTGAAAAGCAATCGCACCCTGATGGCCCTAAGTCCCCAACTCAGAACTTTTCCCCAGTGCTGAGGGTCTTCTCTTTGGACAAACACTGGGATGCTGGTTGGGGTAGTTGTGTCCTGGTGAAAGGGAGAGGGACCCAATTTCATTCCCTTAATGAACCTGAGATATTTTTGTCTTCTTGGGGGTGGTTCGAAACCTACAAAGTTGTATCCTTAGACCTTGGCTTGTTTTTAAAGTACCCTTATCTTAAAAGAGACTGACATGATGTAAAGTTGTTGAAATTCATTTGCAAAGGGGTAGAAGTTAGCTGCCTTGTTTGATGGAATTGGTATTCTTATAAAAAAAAAAAATCCAAGAATTTACATTTGGATGTTAACCCTATTTCAAAGTGGTCTAGTGGTGACATAAATGGTTGATGTCAAGTGATGGGTTATCAGACCCACCCCCCAGCACCGTGTGCGTCTGTTACCCACACAAGTAGTATTCTTCTCCTGATAGGACTTAAGAAAAAAAAGGAGAGAGCAAATTCATACATACTATGTGGGACTGCTAATAAAGAAGAGGAAGCAATATGCTTGACTTTTACTACAAGCTTTCAGTGTTCAGATTAGACTCCTGATTAGGATTTCACTTGTTTGGAGGATGGATCAAGGACTCATTCAGTCACAAAGAAATCACATAGCAAGTAAAATCTCAATATATTAACAAGTTTTCCAATTTTTTTTTCTTTTGAGAACTAGCAAGACACCCCCTGTCTCTGCAAAGTGTGACTACAGCAAGCCCTGTGAAGTGTCAAAGTTTCTCATCTGACTCCTTTCTTAGAGACCAGACAGACTGTTCCAAGGCTGAGTGGCAACAGGTGCCTGGGAGAGTTGTCTCCAGCAATAGCAATATCCACAGAGGGTGAAAGTAAAGCTTCTTAATATAAATCTGACCAAGCCATCTTAAAACCCTTTAGTGGATCCCCATCATATATGAAATAAGCTTCCATAGCCTTGCATACAAGGTCTTCTTTGATTTGATGCCCTTGTCTGTTTCCACCGCCTAGTCTCCTCTGTCTTGGAATGCCCTTTCCTTCTTTGCTGACTATATTTTCCATGATGTGTCCTGGGGGATCCTTTCCCCTAGAGAGCTTTCTGTGTCATCTCCTTTCCCCTACCTGTACCCAACCCATTAGGGTTTTGTGGGAGGTGGGGGGCTTTGATTCCACTCCATTGTATAAATCTGTTCACATGTCTGTTTCTTCCACTAGACTTAGACCTCTCTGAGGACTGTGATTGTGCCTTGTGCCCTTTTCCTAGCTCAAGGCCTGGTACCTATTTGCATTTGGTAAACATTTGAAAAATTGGTGAGTAAGAGAACATGAGGAAAATGTGAAAGAAAGCATGTGTCTGGTATCTGTTTGTCGTGTGCATGGAAGGAGGAAGAGGTACGGAACCTTGTTCCAAGTAGTTTGAATGGTGATAACTGAGTATATCTTTGTTTTCCTTTAACTTTCTCATTTCCTTGTTTCCATCCAGCCCTTTCTTCCTTTTCTTTCCCTTTTAATGTAGTATCTGTCTAGTCATTTGCCATGAGTAAGAGTAGCTGATTTTTTTTTAAAGCATTCTGCAACTTAAAAAGACTTTTATAGGTGGTGCATCTCATTTGGTCCTTACAATTTCACAAGGAGTGGAGGTTATCTCCATTTTATAGATACCGAAAATGAATCTCAATGGACATGTGATTTACCCAAGGTCACGGGGGGGGGGGGGGTAGGAAATAGCCAAGTAAGGTTACTGCAGCTCCTACTATGGTTTTCTTTCCCCTTTCTTTCCCCTACCATTGCTTTTCCTGAAGCCTTTAATAAACATTTAGTTAACATCTACTCTGGGCTAGGCATTCATCTGGGTACTAGTATTATGACAATAGGGACTTGTGTTTAGGGAGTCACAAGCTGGTAGAAATGCTGAGACATGATATACTGGTTTTGTTCCAGATGTCCAAACAATTAGAAACTTATTACATATGGTAGTTGAAAATGGAAGGAAAGAATTAGAAAGTTATGTTGCTGTACATATGATATCCATGAATACCGCACTTTAAAAAATTAATGAACTGTCTTTTAAAGAGTTTCAAATTCACAGCAAAATTGAGTAGGAGATAGAGTTCCCGTATACTCTCTGTCCCTCCTCCCCCATACGCACAACTTCCTCCACTATCGACATCACATTTATTATAATTTATAACCCACGTTGGCACATCATCACCCAAAATTCGTAGTTCACGTTAGAGTTCATGCTTGGCATTATAGAGTCTTGATGTTTTGATGAATGTATAATGATAAGTATGCACCATTGTAGTATCATACAGAATAGTTTCAATGCCCTAAAAATCCTTTGTGCTCTGCCTTTTCATTCCTACCTCCAGCAAACCCTGGAAACCATGATCTGTTTACTATTCCATCAGTTTTACCTTTTTCATAATGTCATATGCTTGGGATCATATAGCATATTCATACTGGCTTCTTTCACTTAGTAATATGCATTGAAATTTCTTTCATGTCTTTTCAGAGTATAATAGCTCATTTCTTTTTAGTGCTGAAAATATTCCATTGTCTGGATGCACCATAGTTTACTGATTCACCTACTGAAGGACATCTTAGTTGCTTCCAAGTTTCAGCAATTATGATTGAATTTGCTATAAATACCTGTGTGCAGGTTTTTGTATAGACATAAGTTTTCAATTAGTTTTGATAAATACCAAGGAACATGATTACTAGATCCTATGGCATAAGAATATATTTAGTTTTGTAAGAAACTTCCAAAATGTCTGCAAGAGTGGCTGTACTATTTTGCATTCCTATCAGCAATGAAGGAGAGTTCTCATTGCTCCACAACCTTGCTAGTGTTATTCTTCTTCTTTGATATTGAGTTGGCTATTCTGAGTCTTTTGATTTTCATATAAACTTTATTTACGTTTTTAAATATTTTATTTATTTATTTATTTATTTGTTTGTTTGTTTGTTTTTTGAGAGAGAGAGAGAGAGAGAGACAGAGTGTGAGTGTGGGAGGGGCAGAGAGAGAGGGTGACACAGAATCCGAAGCAGGCTCCAGGCTCTGAACTGTCAGCACAAAGCCTGACACAGGGCTTGAACTCACAAACCACAAGATCATGACCTGAGCCAAAGTTGGATGCTTAACTGAGCCATCCAGGTGCCCCTGGTTTTCATATAAACTTTAGAATCGGTCAGTGTCCACAAAATAACTTTGGGATTTTTATTGGGATTATATTGAATCTGTAGATCAGTTTGGGAAGAACTGACATCTTGGCAATATTGAATCTTTCTGTGAACATGCAGTACCTTTCCATTTATTTCATTCTCCTTAGATATCTTTCATCAGAGTTGTATAGTTTTCCTCCTATAGATCTTCTACATACTTTGTTAGGTTTATACCTAAGTTTTTCATTTTTGGGGGGCTAATGTAAATGGTAGTGATTAAAAAAAAATTTTTTTAATGTTATTTTTGTGTGTGAGAGAGACAGAGAGACAGACAGAGAGAGAGAGAGAGAGAATGTG